ATTCTTCTATATTCTAATTCTTATATTCTATATTCTAATTCTTCTATTCTATATTCTAATTCTTATTCTATATTCTAATTCTTCTATATTCTAATTCTTCTATTTTATTCTAATTCTATATTCTGCATTCTAAATCTATATTCTAATTCTCCTATATTCTAATTCTTATATTCTATATTCTAATTCTTCTATTTTATTCTAATTCTATATTCAGTATTCTAGATCTATATTCTAATTCTTTTATTCTATATTCTAATTCTTCTATATTCTAATTCTATATTCTAATTCTCCTATTCTGTTCTATTCTATTCTCATGTCCATCACTGTTTCTGCTGCATTCTGGACAGTTTTCGGACAGTCTTCATAGACCCATGTAGAGTGCATTGTAGTAGACCAGCCAGGAGGCCAAGACACGTGTTCCTATGAGGAACACCTCTTTTTTCTTTTATCTAATTTTCTTGGATGTATCTTCTGGAGGAGGGGGGAGAAGCTACTCACTTTCTAGGCATATTGTACTATAGGTATTAATATGAAGATATAATTAGAACAAGCCATCAAAACTTGGGAAAGAACCCAATGCGTATGAAGACCAGCACCAGCTAAAGAACTAGCAGCTGTGATTTGTATACAGTATATAATAACAACCTACATTCTTAGGGGAACAAATATGTTTTTAAAACAACTAGCCAAAATCCCCTCATGGTGGATATTTGAAGGCAAACCGAATGCTGAGAGCATATCTCAATCGAAAAATTAAAATAAGGCCAGGAAAAAAAATAGAACAGAATTCTTTATTGGCCAAGTGTGGTTGGACACACAAGGAATTTGTCTTGGTGCAAATACTCTCTGTGTACATAAAAGAAGAGAGACATAAAAATATAAATAAAATATACATAAAAAATAGGGGAGAACCCCGATTAATTATTCAAACTAGTGTGAATGGAGGCTCTCTCTCCATTTTTCATAACCATCTTTTTAAAGTTTACTCTATAAACATCGCAGAGAACTGGTTTTCATCAGGACAGGTCACCTGGGGTGAAATATCCACCCCCAGATAGATCACTTATTTTGTTCTGGTTCACTTAAGACAAAAGCCAGGGAGTAGAAAAGTTGAAGTGAGGCCTGCAGATGTGCATGTCTTGTTTGGGCAAATAAATGGAGCTGTCTTCCGCAGATGACAACAAGCAGAATGTTCAAAGCTTGTAGGAGTCTACTCTAAAACATCCTGCTTAAGTACATTTTGAGGGCTGTAGGATTGGAACATCAGACTAAGAGAGTTGGAAGGGACCTTGGAAGTCTTCTAGTCTAACTCCCTCCTCAAGCAAGAGATCGTATACCATTCTGGACAAATGGCTCTCTGCTCTGACTGAGACTGGGCTTCTGAGACCGTAATTACGCATAAGCTTATTTTAAAAACAAGTCTGGTTTTATTGTAACACAGGGAATTATTTTCATTCCCAGCTGGTAATGAATCTCAAACAGTCCCTCGAGATAAGCATCCACCTTTCAGTTCTGTGAAGTGCTGCCAATAACAGAAGTGTCCAATAAACTAGAAAAAAACCAACCAAAGTACAAAGAGCTTCAAGAATGAATATGAACCGAACAAACGACTTTGCTTCCTGCAAAGGTTTCATTATCTTTGCCTGTCCTTTATCCCTTAGGGGAGGGGCAATCACCTCCCAGCCTTATTCCCAAGTTGCCTCTTTTGTTTCAGCTGCTCTTGCCTTCCAGTAGCTCTGCGCACACGCGCACAGGCTCCCCTTGTTCCTCTGCCTCGCTGCTGCCAGACTCAGAAGGCTCCAGAGGTAGCACCCCACTCGCAGATGGTCCTGGCCCCATCTCTGCATTGGACGCAGGACCCTTGTCTGAGTCCTCTCCAGACTCCTGGACAGATCCCCTTTCTTCCCCACTGTCCATTTCTGCTGCTGGCGAACCATAACACTCTCCAATCTCTGATTAAAAACTTCCAGCGAGGTTCAAATGCCCATTTAAAGGTTGTTCCTCAATTAAG